CAGGGAGCATGATGGAAAATGATATGCACGATGTAGAACATAACTTATGATCATGCAATGAGGGCTGTAATGAAACATCTGGATGCAAATGTCATGCAAAGAAATGCTACAACAAACTCGTACATAAGTAAGTAAACAAACATGCTACGCAGGGGAATTACAAACCAAGCCACATTTCATGCAGAAAGGATGTAAGAAAATTACGGTATTTTAACTACACCTCGCACAGAAAAGGTAAAGAACAACAACCGTCGGGCGCACCCGAGGCGGCAAAAAGACTCATCACCAACACAATAGATTCAAACATGCAAGACTCCAACTCCCATGATTTGCACTTGCATGTGAAATATACACATTACCCTCAACTTAATTAGTGAAGAGATGATCAAATACGTGGTCATTAATCAAAACTCAACATGGATTACATACTTTATGCTCAAACATGAAAATTTATGGCAATTTCTTACATGCATGTATTCTAAGACTTCAAATTCAACAAAACCAACTCAATTTCATCATAATCAATCTAACTCATGTTCTTGACCATTAATCAAACTTGAATACACAAAATCACAAGTTCAAACTTATAAACCAAGGGGTGATTACTCACCTAGGAGCTTAATCCTTACAATTTATGGTAAATTCTTGAGTGTGCCTTCAAGATCACCAAGCTTTGAGGCCAAAACCCCAATTTCCCTCACCCTCTTTCTCTCTCTAGCCGACCCTCTCCTTTTCCATAGAGTTTATAATCAGCCAAGTCAAGCTAAAGAAGAGAAATTGAGTGTGTAGTGCTCATATAAAAGCCCCTCTTGTTATATTATTTTAATATATAATAATAGAGCACTAATTCAATAATTAAATCAATCTAATCTGATCCGAATCAATTTCCAATTAAATTTCATCGTAGGCTGTAAAAATTACGCCAATTACAATGGCCCAGTCAATTTCGGGTTCTGTGCCGATAAGGCCTTCAATTTAATTTCCAAAGTAGATAATCAAACAGATAGTCCTACGGTGAACAAATAGAAATTCAAAACCACATATATTCACATAATTGGCACACAAAATCATATCTGAAACATAATCAAATTCATAATAAGGAGAACAGGGTTATCACACTTAATCACCTAGTTGGTGAATAGGACACATGTATACATTTATTGTATTCAATTTTACATTTCTATTAATATTTCAATTAATTCAACTATGGCTAATAAATTAATTTAAATCAAATTTACTCAAATTAAATTACTCCTCATAATCTTATAATCTCAATTAAATTATACTAATGTGAATTAGGCTCTAATTCCTATCCAATTATTTAATTTCAACTTATTAAAATTAGCGAATCAGACAGGTTTAATTTTTATTCTAACCTATCTGTTTAAACAATACAATTCAACAAATCTCATAACAATCAATCACTTAATCACATAATTAACATGTATGAACATAATTAATAGTTTCAATTAAGGCTCAATTCAATAACAGACAATTTAAGTAAACTGAATCAATTTTCAATTAAATTTCTCAAATGGCTCTAAAAATTCCCAGAAGCACATCCATGTACTCAATTTCAATTTGTGCACCTAATAAGATTATTGATTTCAGTTTCAAAGTTGTAACCTAAACTGGCAATTTTCCAATTTGGACAGATGTGCACAAATTAAATTACTTGGCATTTAGTTCAATTAGAATTAACACATAATTAATTAATTAAAATCACGATTAACAAGTTTGTACCCAACATCCATTCCTTGACCTGGTTTGTACCCAACATGCTTTTATAAGAAGAAAATATTGATTTTAATTCCCAACATATGCCTTGCTCTATTTTGACTTGGTTTTGAGAGGAAATTATTAGAGCTATTTTACTCTTTTGAAGATTGTTTTGAGAGTGCATTGCATAACCATATTTGAGCATCTCTTCTTGCCATCTTAAAGTGCATTCAATGGGAATTCTTATGTACTTGTAGCTCTTGAATCTTTGCCTTAATCTCCACAACCAAAGAGCCATTGTGAGTGGTATTTTTAATAAAGTTATATTATAGTGTTTTAATAAAAGTTTTGCTTTGTTTTGGAAAGTATTTGATCAACTATGAATGATTATCCCTTAGTTTTTGTATCAAGTATTATGTTTGTTTTGATAACATTCTTGAGAGGTCCTTGTGTGCTAGAGGACTTTAATATGACTAATACCTATGTTGGAGATATCTCATTTGCCACCAACGGCGCGGGCTTGTCTAATCGATTTCGGGACAGTTATTCATTTGTTTTGTCAATGAATGTTCATCCTATGTACTATGTAGATGTTAATAAATATCCTTTGAAGTTTTGAAAGGAAGTATTGATTCAAGCTATGATAGATATTGTTTTGTAAATCTTGGATATCATTCATTTACCCCTTTCTTAATTATACCATTCACTGAGTTATTGACTCACCCATCTCCCTTATATATATGTAGGCAATGAGCAAGAAGGCGATGTTGCCTAAGACCTTGTTTGGAGGATATTTTGGTTTTATGCTTTTGTAATTATCTTGAAGATTATGCTTCTTAACTTTTGTAGAACATTTCTTTTGTATATTTTGGCTTGAAAAACCTTTTGATCAAAATGTAAGATGAAGTTGTTTATGGACAAGTTTGTTATATTTTTGTATCCAAGTTGTAAAAGCATATTAATATTTATGTATATCAATGAATGTCATTTCATTTGATGTATGCACAACTCTTATGGACTAATTAGATTTAAATTTATGGCTTCCGCACATGTGTGCCCAATATTTATACTCGGTATGTGTGAATCTTTGTTAAGTTGGCCTTCGATAATTTAAGATTACTAGCCATCAGAGCATCATTCTGTTAGAGGCAAGATGGGGTCATGACAAGGCCACATGGTGGGGGTTTTGAGGGGATTTTTTATTTTTATTTCTTGTACAATTTCATATATATATATATATAGATGTGTGTAGATTTTGTGAACAAAACAATTTGATGAGAAAAGGGTACAGCTTTACATATATATATACATGTGTACTTGAATTGGGGCTAAAGTGTAATTCAATTAGAATGTGGGGACTAGAGCTCAAATTTATGAATTAGAATATCTAATTTAAGTGTAGAATTTATTTAAATTAGGGTTAAGGAAAGAAATTTGGTTTAAGTCATTACGTTTTGAATCGAAAGACGAATAATGGAACGAAATGATGAAAACAAAAAATTAAGATTTTAAGCGATCAACCTATAATTAGGGGGTTAATTAATTAGTATTAGATGTTAGAAATGATTACTAAACTACCGGGGTCAATAGGGTTTGCACGGTTTCGCCCGAGATGTATTTTCAATTTTAGGGTTAAACTTGTGATAAAAGGAAAATTCAGGGTCATAATTGTAATAATCTCAAGGTTAGGGTTTCAAAAGAAATTACAAAACTTTGGGTCTCTACAGGCCTAATGCATAGGGACGACAATTTTTCCTATCCTATTCTATTTTCATTTTCTTTACTAAGAAAGGAATTGGTTTTCTTTTCGTGGCTTGTGCTAGTCCGCTTCTACCCCAATTATATTTATTAAGTATATTTATATATAATTTATTCATTAATTTTTATTTCTTAAATTATGACTGGTCCCTCCAACTTTTTTCTTTTTTCTTCTTTTAAGTCTCAATTTGTTTCAAGCCGTTTGACTAAGATGATGCTATGATACACATGTTTATTATATGGAAAATGCTATGGATCTTAAATAATTTACCAAATTTTCTACCAAACCTCTCACATGGGTGTGGGATCCATACAAATCAAATGTGTGTGGGTCCCACACCCATGTGAGAGATTTGGTAGAAAATTGGTAATTTGTTTGGGGTCCCTAACATAACTCTTATTATATATACAAGTTATGATTTAAATTGATATTATTAAAAAAAACCATTATGTTTGTGGGGGCGAAAACAATATTAAATCAAAATTAGTCATGTAATTATGTTTCAAACCGGTATTGGTTACGACTTATTGTAATGAAATGACTTTGGTTACAACTAAAGTAGTCTTTGTTTGTGATCCAAATTGGTATTAATTATGACCTAATATGATTGGTCAATGTGACATGGGTACTTGTATGTGTTGTAATTTTTCTAACTTATACAATGTGTAAAAAATATTTTGTAATCCTTATTTATGTAAATATCTATTCAATATAAACTTCGGTAATAATATCATTAAAAATATATATATTTGTTATAAATAATATTTGATTGTATTTGTTGAAGACAAATTGATTAAGGGTAATTTGTTTTGGTAGATTTGTATTCTCTTTCTTTTTTAGTGGATTGATTAATGGCATTTTGCCCGTGATTTTTTAATCACAATTGAAAATGCTCCAATTGTGATTTTTTTACGTAAAAATCAATTGTGTCAATTATTGATTTTTGAAGCAACAATCTACATCACTTTCATGCTAGCTGTATGATTTATATTGTTAATTTTAATTATTTAGGAATTGTTGCAATTAATTCTAGTCCAAATCACGAATCACTTTGATTTTTTAGTTTGTTTCGATAAAAAAATTATTTTACATAAAACAATTTTTTAAGTTATTAACATTTTTTTAAGTTTTGTTATGATCATAAAACTAATGTACTAATGGTGGTGATGGTAGCGTCGTTATGGAAAAAGTGGTGGTGGTGGGGTGGTGAAGATGGCGGCAGCACTAGTAATGTGATAGTATTAGTAAGATTTTAGCTCAAAAATAATTTTTACCTTTTGAAAGTGATTTCCGTTGAATATGGAAAATATTTTTTGTTATACGAAACGCAAGAAAAGCAAAAAGTATTTGTTGTCAAAACAAATGGAGTGCTAATTGTACTCAAAACCAAACTGAGGTAAAATTCTAGTAGAAAGAACTCGACCATTATCAAATGCCAAAATTAGCAAATATCCCTAATGCTTTCAACATTCTACCAAAAAATCATAAGACAACCACAAATAATTCAATGAACCCTGAGAACTGAATAAAATAAATTCAATGGAAACCATTTTGTCAAATTTGAGAATACCAACCTTGAATCGAATAAAGAAAATTATCATTTCTCAAAATAACAAAGGTGAGAAAGTGTGGGAGTGAGAATAAGAACAACAATTCGATTCCCTTGCTAAGACAAATAGCTAGCATTGGTTGTACAAAATTTAAAAACAAAAATACGCACTTGTTTGTTCCATCACTTCCAGAGTTCTTCCATTGGGATCCCACGCTCCGCAGCAACTTCACTAAATTGCCTCATTTTCAGCACTGCAACAACAGTGGCTCTTGCATTGTTAAGTGCATTGTCGCTTCCAAGTTGTTTCCCCAGTGCATTCTCAACGCCTGCCATTTCTAGCACAATCCTTACAGAACCTCCAGCAATCACTCCAGTACCAGGAGAAGCAGGTCTAAGCATCACCTTTGCTGCCCCATAATCACCCTCCGATCTGCCATTTATTTGTGCAAAGAATTAATACTGTTCTACAAAAATGATATTTACGTCCCATGATCAAACTAAACTAACCAGATAGATAGCAGGGTATTCTAGCATATGAAGGGAAAATTATTTGGATTTCTCAATTTTCAAGCAAGAACTTCGAAGTTCCTTTATGAGCAAATCACTAGCATTTTGAATTTTTCAGTCAAATTTATGGAATATAGAAATAGAAGCTTCTACTACATGTATGAAACAAGAAAAAATAAACAAATAAATGAAGGGTGTAGAGAAAAGTGAACAGTTTAGTCCATGTCACCAACGCAGTCAAAGCCTTCCATAAAGATAAGGAAAGATGAATGAATGTATAGAAATTGACTTTAAAGCATGTACGAGGTTCTCTGTAAAACATTTCTAGAGTAGGCAGAATCTATGCATATGTACTTATCCAAGTGTTAGACCTTTCTAAACCTAAATCTTTGAATCTTGGGATATGTATCCAAAAGTTGGGTATAGGTATGGAGACATGTCTCAAACATATTGTCAACATATTGTATAACATTCTTAAAAATTAAACAAGATTTACAAAACAAAAAACAAAATATATATATATATATATATAGAGAGAGAGAGAGAGAGAGAGTTTCTATCTCTTAATCATGCAAGTTTGAGAAATATTTTTTTACTAGCAAATATGGACATCTTCTTCAAACATCATATAAAGTTAAGAGGATCAAATGTCTAAATTAGATATGGACATCGAACACATATCCCACACAGCCTTAGTCTTGTCATATTCGGTGGAGATGTGTACTGTGGGAGAAATAGAAGAGTCCATGTAACACTGAGTAAGATACAAATTTCAGTTCAAAACTACACAATCATAAATTTGAGCTGCATTTCTTTCCCACAATATGCTTCCATTTCCTGTGTGGCCAAAGCTAAAACTACTCTTGATGCACAATAAACATTAATCATTATAGATGATAAAAATTCACAAAGTCGTAGACCAAAACACAAGTTAGAACACTTTGTAATGCACAATGGGGAAGTCGAATGCTTCCACCTTGACCTTATTCAAGACTACTAAAACCAAACATCACTTTCAGCAGCTGCATGTTTGTACAGTCATCTTGTGGCTCAAGAGACACCCTTGTATTCTTGGCACAAATTGATTTAAATCTCTTAAGAATTGCAACAACTTGATGCAAAATTGACTATGTAAGTTGAACCACAAATTGGCTGAAAACACTTAGCTTATTCTACAATCATTCAAGCTTTGCAAAAACCACAGTGAGAAGAAATTATATGTTTACTATAGGTCTATCTAAGGAATAACATAGGGGACTTCAAAGAATGATTTGAGTAGGGCTCTAAGGAATAAAATAGGGGACTTCAAAGAATGATTTGAGAAATCTTATTGCCAGACCCAAAAGAGGTTTTACTGCATGATAATCAATCCACAATTAAGTATTTGGGTAAATTACAAATACGTCCCCTAAGATTTATCAAAAATACAATTTCCCTTTTCACGTTTAGCAAATTACGTCCCACCCCCTATAATCAAGATTTTTTTTTTTTTAATTTTAAGAAATACATATATTAACATTTAAGAAGTTAAAAACCTTATTTTCTTCTTTATTTTTCCTATGTCACGTTCCTTATTACCAATTTTCTCTCAACCAGGATCACCACCCCTTGCCACTCACGATCAATACCACTGTCATTATTGTCTACAAAAAATTAGGGTCATCGAAAAGGATTGGAGAATATTGTAGTTGTATAGAGAGAAGGATTTGGTGAGGGTGGATGAAAATGTGGATAGTATGATAATTTTAATTTTCTATTAGAAGGTATTTGGATAATTTTAGTTTTTCTATTAGGTCAATTTAAAGACAAATTCTAACAAGTAGATATTTGTAATGTTTAGAATGTGAGGAAGGAATCTGTATTTTTGACAAACCTTAGGAGTGAATTTGTAATTTACCCTCAGTATTTTAGGAACAAAAAATCGAAATCAATAATTTCCCTAATGTCATAAAAACAGGGATCCCAACACGCAATTGGAGAAAACACGTAGCAACATTTAAAAACAGGACAAGCAGCACACACCACCTGGTCACTATGTAAAGAAAATCTTACTAGAATGTGTAAGCTCTACATTCTGTGCAATATCAGGATTAATAACTCTGAAAACCCTCAAGCTTCGAATTAGCACTTTCAGAAACCCCAAATTTATTTTTTAATCAGCAACAAACAAAGGTATATTAAGGCTCAAGGCCAAGAAAAATGAGGATAAGGCATCCTCTACAAGAAAGATGGAAAAAACCAAAAAGAGACAAAAGAAAATATAAAAAGATAAACATCTACTACTACACAGTACAAACTGACACCCAATCGTTAGCAAGCAAAAAAAAAAAAAAGGAAAATCTCGGAATACTGAGCTCGCTGAGGCCCAAATAGACGCTGAGTATCTCACCCTACCCCATTAATAGTCTATATCCCGGGCAACTCTTTTGAAAATACGCGCATTTCTTTCCAACCAAATGATCTAGAAGATTGCAAAAACGACACCATTCCAAAGCACTTTAGCCCTCTTCGACCTTCCAAAAACTTGAAAATCAAATAATAGCATTTGAGCACATCCTTTTGGGGCCACCCACATCACACTACCCAATCCAAACACCCTATGCCACAACCGCCCAACCACCAAGCAATGCAAAAGAGATGATCCAGAGATTCTCCACTTTTACAACATATAATGCATCATTAAGGATTAAGATACCACGAAGGTCTCCTCTTTTGCAATGAATCATTTGTCAAAGTGCCCCCATGAATCAAAATTCACATGAACACTTTCACCTTAAGAGGAGCACATGCGTTCCAAATCTTTTTATGAAACAGAAACCCCAAATTTCGGACAGAACTTAAACTACTTTGTATTGCTTAAATACTAAGCACTCTCAAATATCTGACATCACATTACACAACTCATGGTTTATATGATGTCGCCTAACAACAGCACCTCCTCATTTCAATCCATGATGTCTAAACAGAAGAATTGTTTATGTCATGCAAAATGAAGCATATCGATCAGTGTTATCTCATAAACTCTAAGCACCCCAAGCATTCATCCACTTATGCAAAAGGCTCATCTAAGTGCCCTAGTATCAATTAAAGGACGTACGCTCACCAAATTCCACAAACTCAAATTCAATAATTGGATTCACAGTCCAGCATCAACAAGCAGCACCACATACATCTATTATTATAAGATAAAGCACACAACTCAGAACAATTTTGAAGCCTTCTCAGGCTTTTTTCTTTTCTTTTTTTTCCAAGAATGCCCATATTGTTAACAGCTCCAGTAAATAAATGCTAACAATTTCAAATTCAACCCATATTGGATGTAAATTTGCAAACAAGATTCGTTTGCACCCACCACTAGTATCAAATAGAGTAAATTACACTGACCTCTCCTAAGGTTTATAAAAAATACAGCAAGCCCAATGATTTTGGCATAATTACTCCGAGCATCTCCAATTCACAACCCCCTTTTTTTCATCAAATTTAAATTTGATGAAAAAGTGCTCCAAAACCATCTCCAATTCATTCATCAAATCAAAGGAGAGACATTATTTTTTATAAAATTGAGAATTCACGTTGGAGATGATTTTTTTTTTTTCCATTAAATTTGATGAAAAGATAAATTTAAGATAGGAGGGGTATTTTTAAAAAGATTTTGATAAAGTTTGATGAAAGAGTTGGACTAGTTGATATCAAATCAAGTGTTTTACTCAAATTTGGAATCAAATTAGATGAAAATATGATGAAGTGTTGGAGATGCTCTGACTAATGAATTATTGATAAAAAGGGGCCAAGTGTTATATGAATTAAAATCTTAAGGGCGCTCAATATAATTATGTCAAAACTATGAAAATTGTTGTATTTTCTTCAAACCTCAGGCGAGGTCAGTGTAATCTACCCTATAAAATACGTACACAACAATGTCCAAATTAGACAAATTTTCAAAACTCAAATCAAAATGAAACTGAATGAATGAACAAATTATTATGGAAATTGGTACATCAAATACTTTCCTAGTGTATACCACCTATATAGTTACAAGAATTCATATAAGCAAGCTCATGAACTAATCATCAATACATTAACCAAATTGCAACTAATTTGAATTCACAACCACAATGTAAATTCTGTATACCTGTGAGGAAACGTCGAGTACTTTGTCATCGGCACGGTGATGATATTCCGGCGAGCATTCGTAGCCGATTTCTGAACCGCAGCAATAACCTCTTTAGCCTTGCCAACACCAACACCAACACGCCCTTGCTTATCACCCACAACAACAACAGCCCTGAAATGCAATTGCTTCCCTCCTTTCACAACCTTTGTGACCCTTCTCACCTGAACAACTCTCTCATCAAACCCATCTCTCACTTTCTCTTTCTTAGCCTTTCCCAACCCAGTTAATTTCTTCACCTTCGAATCCATCACGTACACGTCTTTGCCCAATACACTCACTCCACTGTATGCGGGGCCGTAGAGTTCTTCATATGCTGCGGCGATTTGGTCTTCGGGCTCTAGTGGGTCTTCGTCGAAGGAGGGAGGTGGGACGAACCCTTCTGGGGCTTCTGGTGGGTCGAATGTGATGTCGTCTTCTGGGTTGAAGTTGTCGAAGAAGGTTGTTTCGATTTCGCCTGAAGGGGAGGCTTGGAGGGGGGTGAATTTGGTTGGTTTTGAGGGGAGGGAGAGCGAAGGGTAGGGGGATTTAGGGGTGGAGGAATGGAGGGTTGTTAAGAGAGAAAGCGATGGGTTGAAGAGAGAGAAACAAGATTTGGGGATAGAGAGAGAAGAGAGAGTTGAGAGAGAAGTTGCAGAAGCAGCCATGGTGGTGAAGAAGAGAAGGAGATATAATCAGTGAAGTGTTGGAGGGTAGACTTATCCCCCGAAGGTGTTTGGGAGATTGGACGGAGCGCGGTATCGTCTAGATTGGACAGACCCCACTATATTTCTTTTCTTTTTTTAACATAAAGCATTACAATAGCCCCCATTTAGTATTTAGTGTAACTGTTAAAATAACTTATACATTATAACTTAATAGATTATAAATTATGACTTTAATCAGAAGTTTTAATCTATTTGGTATAACTGTTGAATTATAGATTTAAGTTGCTAAGTAGTGTTTGTTAAATAAGTTGTGAAATAGTTTTTTCAATTAATTTTTATTTTTTGTTTGTCTACATTTCTCATAAATAATAATAATAATAATAATCTATAGTCCATTTGAGTCTTTTTTTTTTATTTTTAAAAAAAATAAAAAATAAAAAAATTTAAGAGTATAACCATAAATTAACATGTCCACAGCAAAAGCTGATAATCAGAAGCAAGGGGTGCGCAGCTTCTCAGAATCAGTTTTTTTGAGTTAAAATAAGCTGTTAGAATCAGAAGCTGTTTAAAATAAGTTTAACCAAACAGTACAAAATAACTTTTTCAAAGCTAAAAGTCATAAGTTGGCTCTGAAAAGCTGAAACAAACACCCCCAATCTAAAATAGGAATGGGAAAAATTTTGACAAAATTGCAAGTCACTTGGGCGTATAAGTTTGGCCCCGTTCATGTTGAGTTTTATGGATTTTTGTCAAAATTTGGGTCGGGTCGGGTCGGGTCGCGGGCTGAAAAATTAGGCCACGGCCCAGGTGATATTCGAGTCTTGAGCGGACCGGGCCAGTGGGCTTGGGCCTAGGCTCGAGCTTGGGTGGGTCTGAACAATTTTTTTATTTTTTCTACCAAAATTTTATTAATTTCAACTAAAAAAGACACTGAGCCTCGGGCCGACCCTTGAGTGGACCTTAAGTGAGCTGATGGGCAGGGTTAGGCTTCAAAATAATGGTCCAAGCCTAGGCCTAAGGTCTTCGCCTGGGCTCGGGACTGGATTCAAAAGAGCCTAAATGGATCAAGCCCATCCCGGGCTACCCACGGGCCACAGACCATTTTTACACTCCTAAAGTCACTCATATTCACATCAAATTGTACGATTTAACTTGATTTTCTTACCATCGGAGGTTGTAGAAGGCATGTCTCTCTACAGGCGTGCCTTAGGTTTGATTTTTGGAAGGGGCGAATTCCGCTGCTTCGCAGCTAACTCTTTTTGGAGGCATCACTTGTACTCTCCTTGAAACCTAGGCTTGTCTATGGCATGTGGTTGAGTTTTATTGGTGTCTCGGTGGTAAGTCCTTTGAGTTAGGTTAAATCAAGCTAGCAATTTGACTATCCCAGGGCTTGAGTCTACGGATGCAATGATGACATCTCTTAATATCATTTTCTTCTATTCAAAAAAAAAAAAATTTTGATTTTCTTACTACATGATTTGGTGTTAATTCTTAAATAGACGAATCATTCTTCATGATTTGATTTACAATTTTATAGTTAAGAATACGATTTCAAGTTAAACTAAATCATTTATATATATATAATTGGTTACTTATGTAAATATTTAACTCTTTTATTAGTATCAAATATAAATATAAAAGCTATAACTTTCTACTGTTACAAATATATTATGATATAACTAGTTCTACAATTTATAGGTTATGTTATGAATGATATTTTGTGATCATATTATAAATAATGATACAATTTTTAAATCTATAATTTCATACCAATCCAAATCATTTTGAATGGTTAAATCTAATTTGATCTGAAGACTTTCATGATTTAGTTTGATTTTAAATTTCATGGAACCATAAATATGGTGTAATTATTGGTTTACTTCTAAATTAAATCAACTTAAATCATATCCACCCCTAATCAAAAAGATATATATAAGCTCAACAAAGAGCCCCATAATAGAAAGCGATAGGGAGAAATTATCAATCTTAACATTTTGTAAGTATTGATATCTAACATTTTAGATAGAAATATGCAAGAATCATCTTACTATTTTTCCATTTATGTATAGGCCGCAAATGGTGAACAAACTCGAGTTACAAACACGAGTTCAACTCGATAAGTGTTTGTTCGAATTAGATTCATTACAATCTTATTGAGTTTGAATTTGAGCTGGTTAAAATCTTAATTGGCTTGTTAACTTGGCACATTTAACATTTATTTAAATAATAGAATAAATATATTATTTATATATTAAATAATGTAAAAATATGTATATAAATAGAATAAATATGTTATTTATATATTTAAACAATGTAAATAATAGTTAACTATATATAATATGTTTATATTATAGCACCCCAAAATCAAAATCTCGAATTTTAATGTTAACTCATCAATAATCTGATTTGTTTAAAATACGACGATCACATATATAATATATTGATGCTTCAAAAGGAATTTTTCCCCATTGAACTATTTAAATAATTACATCATTGTTCAGTTACTTCCACCAAATGACAATAACAGTTCAAAGAGTAAGAGATAATTCAAAATATAAATGCCCTAAAGGTGTGTAACTTTTCAAGGAATACCCTTAAATACACAAAGTGATGTAATTTTATTTTCAACACGAAAATAACCCGAGGCTTCAACATGTAGCATATAAATAGAGTCTCTGTGCTTCCATCCAAAAATACATCTCATGTTAATCACTTTGGTGGCATTACAACTTCATTACCTGAAAAGGTTGTTAGTTTTAAGGTGAGCAATTGCCTAGTAGGAAATACCATTAATAAGTTATATAATTAATCGAAATATATATGATCATGTCATGCAAGAAATGAGAAAATCTAAGTCTTTTATTTTCTTTTTAAAACCTGGACGCTAAATATGAAATGCCAATAATCAATCTCAGCCAATTCATGGGGTGTAAATGAGCTATGACGTCACAAGCTAGAGCTTTAACACCATACACACACACACACACATATATATATAAAAAGTTGTCCCACATTTGCTGACTCTCAAATGGTGGGACAATGGGCACACAAACCTTTCTCTTCCACTTTAGCCAACTCCAGAAATTGCGGGTTCGTGGACACCCAAAATCATGTTTTCCACATTCGTCGACTCTAAAAATGGTAGACTCGTGGTCACCCTAAAACATTTTACACATTCGTTTGGCGATATGCTCAAGACAGGGCAATTAGGCACCTTAACTACCTACACTGTAGCGATCCCAATTTTGACCCATCTTTTTGTGGTGTTCCGGACTCGGGTTGGTATGGTTTTGAACAGTGTTACGTATCTTAGTTCCCTGTATTCCCCGTATTTTCATTATCGGGTTGTAGTGGTGTGTTTGGAACAGATAATGTATCATGTTTGTATCGGGTTGTAGCGTATCTTTCATGTTTTGCCACTTCACTAACTATGTCGGGGATCGAGCTGCCCGGTCAGCTTGTAGGGGTCGAGAGGGCAGCGCTTTGGCAGGGTCGAGGGGCAACACTCCTGAAGCAAAAATACAAAATGCATTCGAAGTTATTTGTCCGCTCGAGCAGAGAATGTTTGGTTCTAGAAGTTTGACCTGTCTGCAAAAGTACTAAGAAGGTGCATTCAACGCTCGAGCGGGGCTTTCCACGCTCGAGCGGACCATGTATTATATCAGTTCGTAAATCTGATATTTCAGATCACTTTTGTATATCTCCCTAAAAGCATTTCCTCTCCGTTCTCTCTACATTTCTCTACACAAACTAGATCAAAAACTTTGATTTCTCAAGATCCATTTGAGTTTCGCCATTGCTTCTTCATCAAAGTGGGTTATCATCGCGAGGGCTTCGTTGTGTGCGGTGAAGATCGAGTTTAGGCATCGTTGATTTTGGGGTTTCATCTCTATTCTTCTTCAAACTTGAGATAGGGATTTTCTTTGAGTTATATATATATATTTTTTTACAAGATCTAGATGATTTTCAAAATCATCCTTTGATAGCTTTTGAAAACTGATTGTTGATTCAAAAAGTTGAGCGATTGTGAAAGTGGGTTTGTCTCTTGTTCTTTTAAAATGATCTTATGGGTCTTGATCTTCGTTGATTGAAGAAAAGATGCTTTTGGAAAGTTTTCTTTCAAAAGATTTGGGTTGTATAGTTTTGATGAGAAAACCTAGAAATTGAAAATTTTTAAAAGAGATTGAAAATCCATGAATGATATTGTTATATTTATTTTGTGTGTCAAAATAAATGGATGTTTGAAAAAATTTCTTATTTATATTTATATAAATGATGAATTTCATGGAATATGAGAATTGTTGTTCATTTTTGGAAATTATTGTTCAAAACGTTGAAATAGTCTTGAAATGACTAATTGTTGAGGATACTTGAGAAGGGAGAATTGTGTTATTCCTTGGATGATAAATTGGAATAAAAGTATTTATATTCATCTTGTGAAATTGGCATATCAATTCATTTGATCACATTAAACTTTGAAAGTTGATTTGAAAACTTGCATTGAGAAAAGAATGTTGAGAAACAAGTTTTCATGAAATGGTTTTGGGGTAAATACGTTGGTAAGTCATGATATGTGGTGTAGATGATATTGAATAAGTTGGCCTGAGAGTCCGGGATAAAAGACCGGAAACCTGTGCGGATAGGTGTCGAGCCTTCCGGTTAATACCGGTAAAAATGACAATTTAGTAGTACTTGTATAGTCTACTTGCAGACACCGACCTAGGGATTACCAAAGTCGTATTTACTTCTCTTGGAATGAATTGTTAAGTTTTAAAGAATTAAAATTGCATGACATCATTGAGAATGATGGTTTTAAAGATGAAGATGTGATTTTCTTTCAAAAGGGCATAGCATGACATGTGCATTTCATCTCTTGAGACTTGTATAAAATGTATATACTTTGTTAAGGATTTCCTACTAGGCTTTATGCTCACCCTACGGGATTTTTGTGCAGGAAAAGATGTGGTGATGCCGCCTAACTAAAGGCGAGGAAATGTGTGTTGAGAGATACGAGACTCTCATTTTGCTGTGACTCTGTGTGTAAGCAAGGCTGTATATGTGTGGTTTAAATAACCGTTTGTGTAACCAGGCTCAAGCCTTG